TTGCCCAAGCACTGCATCTCTTCACCTTGCTGAACACAACATTTTCAAATTGTTGCAGTGAAAAAACCAGAAAGACTATATATAAATATATTTTTAAAACCTAGAAACCTTGAGCATTGAGCATTTCTCTGGGTCCTCCTGAGATACCATTGATCCTCTGCCTTGCTGCTAGCCTGCGAATTGCTTTCCACACAAAGAAGGAAACTTACCTCCTTTCTCCACCTCTGAATTCTACCACACATTGAGCCCTTAGTGGAAAAGGCAATACACAATCATGAACACTCATCCTATTGCTTTAAATAGCAATTACAAAATTCTTGGTCACCAATATGAACCCCTGTATTACCATTTACTTACCCTTTTTCCTATTGTTAATATTAATATCATCAAGGCTTTCATGGGGCATGTTTGAGCTCTGAATTTCAGAGGCTCCCCTAATGGAAGCTGTTATCAGCATTCTCATCTTACAAACAAGGAAATCAAAGCAGGCATTGGAAGCCAAAGTGACTTGCCCAAGGTCATCTTGCTGACAATAGGCAGAGATGGGAGTACAGCTAAAAGCTTCTCTTGCACCCCAGCACAGGAAGAGCCAAAAATTATCTTCTCATGCCACATATGCCAGCTCTTGCATTTGTTTCTACCAAGTCTACAGTAATTAGTACACAAACACAAATCACAGGTGTTTGGACCCTGTGCTCAAAACAATGGCCAGTGACAAAAATCTTACTGACCAAAGTGCATTTGGAGCCCAGCCTCTTCTTTCATTGCTTACCAGTTTCTTGCAACTCTCATCAACAAAGCATATCTGGTAACCGATCTGTGCAGAAAACCCTGCTGCTCATCTTTATATACTGGGCCGTTTAACCAAAGCACGACACTGCTGAACACCTTCTGAGTCCTCAGTGCCCATCTGGGTAAAACAAGCACACTTAGAGAGCACTGTGCTGACCAAAAAACACAAGGTGGGCAACGACCTCCCGGAATCACCTGTTATTTTCTTTCTTTCTTTCGCTGCTCGCCTGTGCAGGCAGCCGCGCCTGACTCCAGAGGCTCAGCAGTGCGGACAGCTGAGAACAGACTGGAAGCTCTGGGACGTGCCCGGCCGCACACACGGGCTGGGGGAGCGCACGGGGACCCGCACCGCGCTGTGCTGACAGCGCGGCACAAAGTCCTGCTCGGGGCTCTGATGTCACCGGGCCGGAATGCTGCTGTTACCGTGAGTGAGTATATACACATACATACATACATACATATACACATACAAACATATACACACATATATATAGTAGGTATTGTGTATCTATCCATCTAGATAGACAGATAGATATAGCGTGCAAAACGGCTAGGTGTGTATCATACGGCCATGAAGACATTGTATACACAACACTATTATTATTTACAAGCTCAGACTCGATGTGTTTACCACACGCTTTTCAAGGTGCACTTACACGAGCACCCCCAGGATCCGCACCGCCTCAGCATTCCCCGCGCTGCTCCGCAGGCGGGGGCGGGACGTGCGGACAGGAGACCGCCGGAGCGGGGATGTTCGTGTCCCTTCCGCAGCCCCCAGCCCCGGCAGCCGCCCCACGCCCCCGGCACGGCCCCACCGCGCCCGGCGCCCCCAGCCCCGAGCAGGCGTCCCGGGGCGGCGGCTGCTCCTCACCTGGTGGCAGAGGATGGTCCGCTGGACCAGGCGGGCGTAGCCGTCCAGGCGCACCCCCGAGTTGCTGCGGCTCCTCATGGCCCCACGGCGGGCCCGGCTGCCCGGCCCGGCCGCGCTCAGGGCGGCGGTACCCGGAGATGGCGGCGGCCTCTCCCCGCCCTCACGGCGGAGCGGGGCGGGGCGGCAGCGGCCTCCGCCCTCAGGCACCGCGGGGACACCGGGACAGCCCTGCACTGGACCGAGCGGAGGAGGGGCCGCCTGGCGTGACAAAAGCCCGGCTACGTTTGTAAAAAATAGTGTCGATTTTACAGAACCTCTTCGTAAATTCGTAAAATAAAGCTGAGAATACCAGAGTACTTGTTGGAAGCTTTTCTTTCCCCCAGCCTTAAAAAACCCCACCGTTTTGAGATCTGATCGAATGAAAGCACGGCACAGATGTAGCAGAGTAGCTGAAGGTGTGGTGTTCAATCAAAATTCGGAAACAATTTTTTCCCGTTGTCTTTTTTTTTTCTTCTTCTTTTTAAGTGAAATTGTAGCATTAGCAGAGTTACTATTGTCACTTTTCCTTGCTGTTCTTCCATCATTGCCTGTAGCCGACAGTCGTGGTTGAGAAGGCAGCGTTCACAGCCGCGTTGGTTCATCGGTGGCGGTCGGGCCCCACCTCTGCAGGTGCTGCACAGCAGAGCAGAGCACAGAGCTCGGAGCTTCATCACCTCCCCCTGCCAGAGCCGGGCGGTGAAACCTGCCCCGGGCCGAAACAGGGACCAGCTCACGGCTCCCTGAGCTCTGCACCAGCCTCCCCCTTCAGGGCACCGCCTCTTAGAGAGACTGCACTTGGGTACCAAGTTTGCTGGGCAGGTTGCTGTTTATCTTTGACTAAGCTTAAAACCTCCTTACAGATCCCCCGAGTCAGCCTTGCAGCCACAAACTAATGCACAGAATTTTACTTGGTGCTGTGGGCGGGTGTTGCAGCTTTCCCCGAGCTCTCTCTGGGTGTCCTGGCTAAACAAAGTCCAAGAGACCAAGTACCAAAAAGATACTGTAACACCCAGTAAAAACACCCTCTAAAAACACGGTTGCAGCTAGTTTGAGGATGAGCTAAAATGTTATGCTAAAATACGCTGGTGCAAGGGCAAATTTTTACTACAATATGAGTGTGCTATTAAGTGGCAAAGTCAGAAAGGACTCATCTCCCCTAGGAATATTAAAAAAAAATATTTCAAGAATCCTAACATATTTTAGTGTGTAAAAATAAAAACAAAAAGACTCCGAGCAGGTCAGTGGAATTTGTGTATTCATAGGGAACTTAATTACTGAAGCTAAAGTCAGCTATGTGCGTTTGCTTACAGCATTCCTTTGGGAGAGCTTCAGCAGTCTTGAGGGCAGGCATTGACTGGACTAACCTATGTCAGGGTTTTCTCTGCTAATATCCAGATCTGTCAGAACCATGCAAGGTAAAATATGTAGTAGAGAATAAATGCAAAAGCTGGGTCAGCTTTATCTCCAAGAGGTGACATACTGTTGATCCTGTAATCTGAAGAATTGTAACGCAGTCTGGTATTAATGACACATTTATCTAAAAGACAAAGTTTATATATTTTGTGTTGCACTTGCTGCAAATTTATTACTTTTTTTTTACAGATGAAAATATAAATATAATAACATTAAATAAATTTACAAGAACACTGCAAAGGCAATTAGCCAAATAGTTTAAGCATTCACAGAAATGTATTCCAGCTACTAGCATTCCAGGATGGGCTTTTACCAACATGCAGCTAAAACCCTGTGGATAAACATAACAAATACTTTAAATTCTCCCCTTAAAAGCATAGTCAGAGTAATTTTGGATGTGACTGAAATAACTGAAAGAACCTGTGTTGCCCACAGAACCACAATGGGGTTTGAGCACTGCAGAGGTTCAATTGCTAACTCCAACAGAGCCCCAGATAAGAGGCACGTAACTCATGCTTTTTGTTAAGGAGTGTGTTTTCAGGGCACCCAACTGAGCCCTCCCCACTGGGAAAGCAAAGCCCTTGCTCCCCATCAGCATGCACCTGCTTCATGCAGCCCTCTTTACAGGGCCTGGTACTCTGCAGTCTGGCACCAGTTTTTCCTAGTTTGCTTTAGGAGCATCCAACTCTTGCCCAAGAATGCAAATTGAAAAAGCAATGGCCATAGCTGCACATGTGTGTGAGGAAGAAGAGGTAAGACCAGGGCTTAGGCCAATTTCTGTTCAGGAATCTTTACAATGTTGTATGGACTTTCAGCTGTTTTACATGAAGAGCCAAAATTCTTTTTTTTCCCAGTAAATATCACAAGAGGAATGAAATTTTGCTTCAGCAATTACTGAGCTAGTGCCTCAGTATTTGGTTTGCCAACTGCAAGCCGAAGTTTAAGCAGAAATACTCATTAGAATAGCTCAAGAGCTGCCCCTTAAAAAACAGCCATGCAATGAAACAAACAATTTCTGAGCTACTAAATATAGCAGCTGTCATTTATTATTTCTACTTTTTCTTAAACTTGCCTCCCCTCCCCCCCCAAACTTCTCAACTTCCATCATTGCAAATGAAAAATGGCAGTGTCTCACCACTCAATATAAATACTGACCCTGGTGAAATCAATGGCAAAAACTGATGACTTCACTCAAGCCACCAACACAGATTAGCTGTACATAATAACCCACTGACTACTTTATTTAATACTCCATTCATGGCACTCTACTTGAATTATACCCAATTTCTCTCCCTCTGTAATGTACTAAAAGGTAGCTAAAGGTTCAAGACCGATTGTGTTTGTTATTTACAGTTCTGCATCTAGTGAATATATTCAAACTACTGTAAGTGATCCATTTACTGGACAAATTAAGTTTTGTAGCATTCTATGTTAAAGAAAATTAACTAAAGAAAAATGCAAACTCACAATAAAAGTTACAAACAAAATACCAATTATTTTTCTATACATAGGTATATTTAAATTTATATTACAAGAAATAAATATAAAAGTATCATTGAGATGCTTAAAGGTTGATATTTTCTGCTTATGTACATGACTGCAGAGTTTGCTACTAAAACGTACTAAAAGTTGAAGACAGTGTAGCTAACATTTTTAAAGTTAACATCGTTTGTATACACAAGTTGTAACTTTCTACATTTATACAGTACTACAAAGCATTATATCCAGATAAACTTAATTGTAATAAAAAAAGTCTAAATAAAACTTTTGTTTAAATGTTAAAAAAACCCTCAAGAAACCCCACTCTGAAGAAGAAAAAAAATGGAAGTGTGCCAGCTGTAATCCGACATCCAAGACCTTGTCAAAATGACAGGTTCCTTTCTTTTCTTTTTTTTTTTTTTAATAATTGTCCTTGTCAATCCATTGCATGGCTGCCTTGAAGTTCCAGTACCATATATTAAATAAAACCAGTCCTTGGTCTGCTCACATTATGTAAAACTGCTAAAGTGAAACTCTACTTCACACTGTAAAACAATGTGCTGTTTAAAAGGAAATCACATTTTCTCCATAGAACTTAGGCTTCCTCTCTTTGAAGTCCTTCTGAGTGAGATTTGGCTTTCTTGGCTGCCAGTATCATCCTTGTCTTGGAATACAAGTTGTTTGCCTGAAAAGTCATGGAGACACACATCACCATTCTGTACACTGAAACAAACACCATTCTTCTCACTGGAAAGATGGCCTGTTGAAACAAAAAAGTGCATTCCTTATCAGAAAGGTTCAGAATCAAGCCTCCCATGCTTTTTTTAGTCACTATAGGGAGTTCATACACTCTCATTTTATCCTTGCAACAATTTTAAAATGTGTATTTTTGGTAAGTATTTTGTATACATTTCTTTTCCTGTGTGAAATCCTGATATTTGAGAGATGTTAATATATTTATGCACAAGGATTCAATATTTTAAGCAATGAAGGTCACAATTCTCAAAATGTAGACTTGACTTGGAATAAGTATCACTAGGTAAGATGCAAAACACTCCTCATTTTAATGATTTGCTTTAATGAATTAAGTTTTAAAGGTGTCTCAGATGTGCCATGCATCTGAAAGAAGAGAGTACAAGGAATTCAACTTACAGCATTTACTTCTGAAGGACAATCGGAATAAGGCCTAGGTCTGATCACGGATCAAAACCATCCTTAGACTGCAGAGAATCTTACCCATTTAGGTGAATCCACAATGAACACATCTAATACTATTGCTGACTGAAGCCTTTTACTGAAATGCTCCACAAATATTTAGTTCACTGGATAAATCTTCTGTCCCTATGTATCACATTCTAAATATTTTTAATGAGAATTTGTGGTTTTTTATACTAAGTATTTGTGTAAACACTTCAGTTTGGACTTTTAAAAAATTTAGTTATTAATTTAAAGTCAACCATCACTTAAACAGGCACAAATGCAGACAGGATAAGAAAAGCAGAAGAGCTTCGTTCATGAATTTAAATAAGAAAAAGGTTGAAATGATAGAAAATAACCACACTTGCTAACACTGTGATTGTTGCTTAACCCCCTGCCTGCCTAACATTGTTTTATCTTAGGAGTGTTCAAAATAGCTGTGCCCTAATCCTAGGGCAAAAGCAGAGAAGAAAATAAGGCTTTTCTGTGAACAAATTCAGAAGGGTGGTTTGTGTTCCTCATTGAGAAAATCTGCAAGTTCAGCCATGTGATACCTAACTGTAATTTCTGAAATATGCAAATCTGCAAGAGAAAAACTGAAAATAAGGCAATATTAGAATGCCATTAAAGAATGAAGTCCAGTAGGAAAGCAAAGTCACAGGCTATACAGACATCCCAAACTTACCACAGTAAGTCATTCAGTCCTAAATCTGGAATAGCATTTCAGTAGAAGCAGTGAAGCTAAAACAATAAAGTCTTTACAGCTTGGTATATTTATGACATAGGTCTTGATTTCTAGAATGGTTTTGGTTTTGGAGGTCACTTTTTAAAATGAAGTGTTGCAATGTTATTTTCAAGTTCCAGCTTTGAGAGGAGAGCAATCGGGTGCAGCAAATTATTAGGTCCCATGTTCCTATCTAACAGCAGTCTAATACCTCTTGGAGGCATTAGCCCAGCTCTTCTGAGATACAAATGCCCCATGTTTGGAAGATTAGGTGTCAGGAATTGCCTCCAAGAGCTTTGCTGGGAGCTATCCAGTTTAGTTATAGGTTTAGCCTCTTCTTACAAAGAATTATTTAGTCAAAATATGCAGGCAAGGTGTCATACAACCCTCTTGATATGAATGGAGGATGTGGTTTGAGGCTCACAGCATTCAAAATAGACAATAAAATAGGAAATTAGGTGGGTCACCAGAGACATCCATGTTTATAAGTGCACAGGAACAAGGTTTTATCAAAGTTCTTTCAGCTGCTTTTATCTAAGAAGCTTTTGGCACAGGACAAACAGACACACTGGAAAGGTCTGATTATGTGAATATAGTAGGACAGAATTGGAGCACAGCCAACAGAATTGGCATCACTCAATGGTTTAGATCATCAATTTAGCATCTCATTCCAAAATACCCAAAAGAACAAAACTTTCCAGAAAGCTGCAACAGGCTCATTCATTCGGTTGTTACAAGAAACAAGTTCAATAGAACATTTCTGCTCTTTCTTTCTGTTGAGAAAAGCAGTCAAAATGCTTTTGTAGCTGGTATAAGCATGTCAGATGTAGCAGGGAGAGATGGCTTCTTTCATCAGAGCAATTAACATAGCAGGGAAAAAAGAGCCCTACAAGACATGCAGGCTTTTGCACCTGAAAACTTCTCTCTTTGAAAGGAAATACTTCTACCTAAAAATATTGTCTTACTTTGTGTCTAATGACAGTGAGTGTCACTGGATGCTCAACTGATCTGTTAGATAAAAAATATGCTAATTATTGCATGATGTGGTATCCAAACAGGGAGATTTTTACAAAGGGATGTGAAAAAAAAAACAACTTCAATTTAGAAAGTGTACAGGGCATGTCCAAATGCCATCTCCTCAAGTGTTGTGATTTCTCTGCAATATGCAGTTACACTCAAAGGAACAGTATGAGTAATATGAGTTACACTCAAAGGAACAGTAACCTCTAAACCACATACAAATTATTTTACTCCGTATATCTGAGAAGTTATCTGCTGATAGAATCTTGTTGATTATGTGCTGTCTTCTGACAGCATAGGCCAAGAAATGAGGACAACACAGCCTCTCAAAGCATGTTCAACAACTTCATAATAAACATCCTAGTTGATGACATGACTTAGCCTCAGCTCTTGATCAGTTGGGAAAATACCATTACTCCATTACACAGGAGTAATGTCTTCTGAGTTTTGCTTGACTTAGGGTTTTATACATTACAGATTTGTAAGGTATTTTTCTGTTAGAAAAATTGATTGTCTTTACTTTCAATGGTGATTCATATTTAGCTTTCTCAACAGACAAATAAGCTACAGCAAATTGCAAGCGAAATTGAGTGCAGTGCTACTGCATTTCAACTCCTCAGGAAGAGCAGAGGGCAGCAGTGCAGAGGACAGTACTATGTTAGAACAGGAAGGATGGAGAATTTTACTTCTGAAGATATACTATTTTGCATTACACTTACCATTTCCATTTGCATGGACTGAATAATCGTTATTCATTAGCAGTGTTGTAGAGTTAGTGGAGTTACTGTTTGATTGTAAGGAGTTGGAAGAACTGGATACTCCTTGATTTACAGTCTGCTTCTTTAAACCATTTGTAGCAGTTCTACTCCAGTCTAAAACAGGAAAGAATATAACTCACACAAGCACTTTATAAAAATATAGTTAATAATGCAATAATTGATATAAAACCAAGGTTTTACACACTTCTTACAGTATTCTAGACAGAATTATATTGTAAGAATTTAATGAGTCTTGATGTTTAAAATTATTTAAATCTAGTTCCTTTTCTCTAGTCCCTTTTTAAAATACAAGCAGCCAACTGTCATAGTTTTACAACTGCAGAGCAGATCAGAAAAATAACTGAAGCGTAGTTGATTCTCTAAGTGAAAGTGTATAAAAATACATGGCTTTAGAAGAGGACAACTACTTAGTAACAAAATAGCATAAAGTAATTCATGTCTTTTTTGGTTTAAACCATGCTTCCCTTTGTTTTTGTGGAAATAACAGGTAAAACTACGTCTGACCCACAAGCTGGAACAAATCTTACCGTTTCTAACTGACCAAAAGTCTTCTGCAAAGACATGCCTTTACCCTGCAGTGGAAGAGGTCATCTCTTAGCAGTTAGCAGCTTAAGGCAGCAGCATGTAAACATGCAAGCACTGCATCAGCTACCACCTTCAAAAAGTATAATTCTGGAGGTTTACTGAATCTTATATAATAAACTAGAACTGCAACTGCAGCAACATGATCAATTGGTTTTTTGGGGAGGATTTTTGTGGTTTTGGTTTTTTTTGTAATTATTACAAAATACCAGGAACTTAACACTAAATATAAGAATTCAGAAGCTAAAAAAAAAATAAAATTAATATTTACCAGAGTTTTCAGCCAGCCTGAATTTCCCACAACAAAGATATCTTCTCCACTGTTTACGGACATTCTCCTTTGTTACACAATAGAAGATGAAAATGAAGAACCCTGCAAAGCAATAACATAAAAGATTGTTGCAGAATTCACTTTTACTACTTCCTAATGAACAATGTTTTGGTTTTCTTTAATTTCTTTTAAATTTCTAATAAAAAGTAATGACACCTTTCTTTTCTGAAAAAGTTTACAACTCTGAACACTGCAGAGCACTTTTTCCTTACATAGATTAGAGGAATCATACACACAATAGAAAAAACAACAAATACAACAAAATGCACAAAGTGCATAAAGTTTCCTTTTATCAAATAAAAAGGGAAAAATCTATTGATCTTGAAATTTGCTTAATGCTTTTGAAAAAGAATTCAAAGCAATGTCAAAGAGAGTGTGTGATACCACGCTATCAGACTGTGAAGCTTTTTTAGCACATTGTGTGACACTGTTACATCTTTTATTAGCAGCTAACCTGTCACCACCAATGCTACAAAATTTTGAGCACTCATCCAAAGAAAATAACTCATATCTAAAATAATAATAAATGGTACCTCCTTTACTACAATTTCAAACATTTACTAGAAGGGATGGTGCCCATCCTATCCCCTACCAGTGCCACCTTACAGCGTCTTTGTCTACTTCTCATTTGCTACTAACTGACACAGGGTGGCATCCAACTTCCCCTGCTTAAAAGTTCATTACAATTGCCCCCCTTTAAGGGAAAGTAGCACTCAATCTTTACACAGTTTCCAATCTGCAATGGGAAACAGTTGTATTAGATTTAGAATGAATAGTAAATAATAGTAAGTCAACACAGCAAATAGGGGAAAGTGTATGTATACACTGAACAGCAATTTTCACTGCTTTAGTCTCTCTGGGAAACCATCCAATCAGTCATCTAAGTGCCATTTAAGCAGAAGTTTGGATCCAAACTTCAGAAGGACAATTCAGGTATATTGGAGGACAGCTACAATCCCTCCTGTTTATATAAAAGTCAATGTGGCATCTCTGCTTTTGGATATGTCCAGCAGCACCCACCATTGCAAAACTTTATGTTTTCATATCTACTTCTCATATATTCTTAAGTACTATATAGGCCATGTTTAACAGTTGGGTCACTAACTTTCAAATGTTTCAGCCTTGCTTGTCTCAATGAGCCTTTGCTGAATGTCCAACCTCCCCCAGAAGCCTTAGGGGAACTGAAGAAATGATACTCTTTTCACTACATGAACTGCATTATAACGTGAACACTTAAAGTAACCGAGTATTCAAAATTCATCTGTTTGTTAGTGGAAACACAGTCACTTCCAGGAATATCTGTTTTGCATACACTTTTTAAATGACAATATTTATACCATACCTATATAAATAGTATCTAGTTTTTCTGTACTTTATCATAACAAAACTGCAACTTAAAGTTACTGTAAAGCAGTATCATCTCATCTCTAATATAATTAACATGCTACTGCACATATCAAATTTAAATTTTTATTGCTGAATCAAGAAAATGATGTTTCAAAATGTTTGGTTTGTTATATTATAGACGGGGAGCTGTTATGTGGGGGACAAACTTACCTTGCAAAGTGTTGAAAATAGTAAAGAGGTAAGTAAATACCTCATTTACTGTGAAGAAAGCAAACCCCCAAGTAATTCCCAACAAGAATGTGAGGCCAGCAACGCTCCTAAGGTCTTGGATACTGGTTTTCCTTTGAGCACCGAGTTGTTTCTTCTTTTTGATACGACAGAGCTGGATCAGCACAACAATGAACATGCTGATATTGATCAGGAATATCAGGCAGAAGTATCCCACAGCAGTAATATAGAAGACAATTCTATTTTTGATCCAGCAGCTAGAACAGAAGAGCAGTCTGTCAACCATTGTCAGAAACAGAAACTAAGTGAAATAAACATGAGACAGACTTGTAGTTTCTTGCATGCAAAGCATTTTTGCCTTTTACAAAAGAAGTTTGGGTTTTTTGGCCAAAGGATATGAGCCTTCATAAAGGCAATAACCCTAAAACATGAGATACTGTAGAGTTGTACTATTTCAAAGCACTACAATTGCTTTCTTGCCTTTCCCCCCCTTTACTTTAAAGAAAAGAAATTTGTAGGACCTCCTTCCACTCCCCACCCTCACCTCCCCCAGAGCTCCTCCCTTTCACTCACAATTCATCAGGTCCGTTTATGGAAACCTTTCCAGTGGTTATCAGACCATAATTATCCGGTGATACTGCCAACACAATGGACACAACTATTGCTGGTAACCCTAAAAGATTATGAGAAAACACATACATTAAAATCCTAACAGAGACAGTATTATGAGGACTTGAAATTATTATATTTTGCTACAAAATCTTCATATTGTTTCTGAAATTTGGCTGTTGAACTCTGCTGACTACTAGCTGTCTGAAAAATTGCAGCATTCAAACTGCTTAGGAGCACAACTTGCAAAGAAACAAGAGGAGTCCTTCACAGCCAGCTCCAAAACTTTCTGAATAAACCAACAAATACCATTAGTCTTCAAAGTGCTTCAAAATATCTTTTACAGCATAACTTATTTTCATTCTTACATATGTTTTAAGAAACAAATAGGAGATGAAAATCAGGCCCAGAATCTCTTCATCCTCTATCCAGTTAGATCTGGTTTTGCTACTTTTTGTTAGCAACAGTGCTATTCCAGAAATAGACCTACTTATTGGCATTTATTCTCAAAATAAAGGAAGCATGCACATTCAAAATTGGTTCTAAGGAAAATTCATTATCACTTTGAATTGCAGAAACTTCAGTTCTGCAGCTGGGGGCACTCCACACCTCAGAAAGGTGGAAAATATAACATTTAATGACTGCCTAATTTTAATTTCTGACCTGTATCACATTCACTGAAATACTTGATAAGAAGAATTATCTATTCAGCATAAAAAAGGAAAAAAAAGATACATACCCCAACCAACAAGACAAAATTTAAGAATGTATTTCCGTACATAGGTGTTAAAGACCTTCACAAGGGCCAGATACATGTGGAAAGCTTCCAGGCCCATCCAGGTAAAGGAAACCAAGAGGAAATAGTGAAGAAATACTGCAACTGCAATGCATAGGCCTCGTGTATCATACAGTGCAATCCATGAATCAAGCAGAAAAACTAAGTTGAGTAGAAGTAATGCAGCACACAGCTGAATAAGTATTTTGGAGGGGTAGTCCCTCCGGATTTTCCTAAAAAAAAAAAAAAAGAAAAGAACATTCATGGGATGACATCAGCTGTCCATGGATTCCTGGCTTACTTCCTTTCTTGCAGTCCTTGGCTTTCACAAATGCCAAGGGAAAAAAACCGAATTTTCATTCATATACAACGCTGCATGTGTTGCATTTATACATGGAGAGAAAAATTTACAACATACTTCCTAATTAACAGTCTGTATATATAAAGTTTTTTAGAGAAGGTTACATAAATACAAACAATCTTGGAGTCAAAGTGCTTAGTACCATGATTATTTTTTTCCGTTTTATGTTGGATTTCTTGTTACATTGCTATCCAAACCCAATAGGTGTCTGTTCTTTATTGCTAGACTAGATCAAGCTTTTGACTGGGCATATAAAGCCTTGAGAGAGGCAAGTCCCAGTATTAGAATAATGAGAGAATAAAGAAAGAATACAAATGCTTTTAAAAATGCTAAAATTCTGTACTGCTTTTTTGTGTATTGTATCTTAAATACATTCCTTCACACTTCTATTATGATAATCCATTATAAAATACTTCAGAGTGCTACTTCTTCAATTCTTACTGCCTATAACATCATGACAATTCACCTGTTGATGAGATTAAAATTTCTGAAGACTGAATCAACATCTTCCTGGTGAACTGGCCAAATCTGTGCATTATTTGTGGAGAGAGAATCCGTAACTATTGAAAAGGATTTCTCAGTGAAGACTATAAACAATCACAATTGAAGAATAATGGGGGCTCAGCTGAATGGGTACTTACTCAAAGGCTATGTAGGTCACAAGAGTAACAGAAAGAAAAATTGCAGAGAGGCCACATCCTATATACGATATAAAAGTCAGTACCAATTCTTGTGTGGGATTCAGAGGAGTATTTCCATACAAGTCCTAAAACAGAAACAGAAGTTATTTTCAGAGAACAGGTTTATTTAATGGAAAAATATACAGAAAAATTTTAAAAATCAAAACACACCTTTCCCTCTACACTTACAAATAAAGGACTCCATTCCTTTCATCATGGCTCTTATAAAAGGTTAGATGAAACAAAAAGCCAATCTAGTCTTTTAAAGAGCAGGGAGATGGGACTCCATGATCCTTATGGGTTCCTTCCAACTTGAGATATTATTTTATAATTCTATGACCCTAATTGTGAAACCCCATTTGATTTCCTAAATTTGATTTCCTAAATTTTATTTACAGTATAAACAGCTGCCTAAATTAGAAATCTGCAGCACTTAAAGAATTTTTTTTCCTCCAGTGGAACCCATGGACTCCCACTCAACAAGGAGTCTAAGCATATGCCTAATTGCATGGCTACCTGTAGTAACACTAAAGTGAATAGAACCTGAGTATTATTTATTAGCTTGTATGGGCTTATTGGGTCTTCACTTGCTTAAGACAACTCAAGGTTAAATGTGTTCTTGAACAAGGGTAAGATTGCATAATTCTTAAAATAATTACCATCAAAACTGCAAAACTTGTGAGATGGTTACATGAACAGACTGTTTCATTTACTCTACTTTCTTTGACTATGCAACCTTCATATGACCAGCCTCCATGTCCACCTGTTAAAAAAAGCAGCTTTGTTATTCATAAAAGGTTTCAATTATTTTAACATGAATTAAAATAGCTAAAACAGCATAGCATCTTGGGAGATCTCAGGTACTTACCATTTTTATTGAAGTCCCAAAAAACACATCTAACTGTTGAATTATCCTGTTTAGGAGTATAAACAAGAAAAAAATCAAGTTACTAAACTGTGCGTTTAGGATCAAATGATTTATGAATGATCTACAAAATTCAGGGAAGAATAAAACCGTACACAGCAAATATGCCTCTTCTATGTGAACATGAAATAAATTTAGGTGCATAAAAGGATTAAAAACTGCATGCAAAAATATGCTGAACAGATTTGAAGTCACCAGACAGGAGCTGGCTCTTGTGCTTATGCAAAGATTCTGTTCCTAGTAGAACCTCTTGAATGCTCTTTCAATGTCTTCCCACACCATACAAATTCTTGGGATTTCTCTTCCTTCCAGACTTTGTAACTTTTGAAGTCATGATCACACAGAAAAGGAAAAACCTTTTCATTTGCAAGTATTTGATCACTTCCTACTATCACAATGTTAAACATTTACACATAGATTTCCTCACACACATGTAAATTCTATAAATACCAGCAGCAGTACACTATATTGCTATAAATACTAATACTTCTACAGTTCAAAACTTATTATTATGTCAAAACAAGTAAAGACACCACTGAGCCAGCTCCTGAAAAAGCACCAGGTGAATTAGTGGAATGCCCACATTTTTCAGTTTACAATAATTGAATATTTAAAACTCTCTTAAGATATGAGATAGAAGACTTTAATCCTTGATGCTCCTTTCAGAAAGAGATGGTGTGCAAGAATCCTAATACTTCCTGATGACACAATCCTGTATTTCAGCTCCACTAAGAAAACAGACTTAGATTATTTTCTGGCCATACAACACCCACAAATGTCATGACTGCAGCAAACTACCACATCAAACTACACACAAACTGCACATCTACCACAGCAAACTACACTTTCAGTCTTTCCTCGAAGAGCTTATGTAGAATAAAACAGAAGAGGAAGTAAGAACAATAAAAGCAGAATGAATTTGTGATAGAGTAAAATTACCTTACATTACTTGAGAACCAAAATTTATACCAATGGCAAATAAGCAAACAGGAGTGATTTTTAAGGTCTGGGTAGAGATGAAATGTCCACATTAGTAAAGCAGAACAAGCTGACCTGTATTCTTAGTCAATGTTTCCACTACAACAACTTCAGGAGAGGCAACAAAACTGTACTGTAAGTCTGCCAAAATGGAAATTTTACCTGATTAGGCTTGATATTCTGCAAAAGGACAGTAACATTTGTTGTTAAGTTACTAATAGTGAGGTTAGCAACACTTGATGATATAACACTGCTGATTAAAGATGCATTCTTCAAGGACAGATCCTGGAATGAGAAAAAAACTCCAGATTTTAAAATCTTAAAGGAAACAATACTAGAATGCAGTACCCACAAGCTCATTTACTATGTGGAGCAAGCACTGGACAAAAGTAATTATTTTTTAAGTCAGAAGTTTTAGAATATGTTTTGTGGGGAAAAAAAATCCATTAATATTTTGCTCTAAGCTTGAATTTAAAATCCTTATGAATAGTGGGCAAAAAAATACCTGGAACACAGTGGTCTTTTTAAAGAAGTTGAATATAATTCTAGAAGCCAAGTCCAACTCTTCAGTGCGTAAATTTTTGAGCAATGATGGAGGAAGTGTAATTGATCCAAGATTATTTAAATTCTGAATTGGCTGAACTCCTAGAGAGATCTGAAAAATAAACACCAGGATTATGCTTTGTTTCAGTTTCTAAATAAATAAATAAATTATGACTTATTTTCAGTTTAAAACTTCAAAATAAATACCTCATTAATTAATGTCACAAACTCACTGCTGCTCTCATTCCTCTCCCACTCCAATGCATAAATAGCACTTATAGGACTGAAAAGGATTCGTCCCATTTCAGGTAGGTCTGCCTACCACTGAAAATAATCTGCCTTTAACAATTTCCCTACAGGGACATAACACACCACTCTGTGTTTTGTATTGATCTGGAAAAGGTGAGGAGCAAAAACTCTGTGTAGCTTTAACTATGTAGGGAGATCAACAGCTTGAAAGCCTGCAAAGGCAAATAATTTTTATACCCTGCAGGGAGTATGTCAGAATTCAGAAAAAGTGAAAACAGCCATTATTTGTCAATACATTTTTATGTTCAGAAGGTTAAGTTTATATTCTTAGATAAGAACATAAACCCTAACTTTTTGGTCATCTGGCAAAAATTCCAAAAGTAAACTGGATAAGCAACAATTCAGGTACCTCAAGAGCTCAGTGATCTTATACTGTACAAAAAGAGATCTGAACTTTCACCCATTTTATGTGCTGCACATTTTATTTGCTGTGCTTACAGGCCAGGGAGCTTTGTTTAGTACAGAATCTCTCAAGATTCCTGTCATACATTAGTCCTTTACATACAAATATCACCACCTCAGAGTTCCTGGGAGATGTAAAACATTAGTAGTACTGCAGAAAGAAATTCTCTGAGTATTGAAAGAATGGCTGTAATTAGAGTAACAGTGTGAACTCCCCGAAGCGCCCTAACAATGTGATTTAACTCATCTGCTTAGACCAGCTCACTCTAAATGTTGTTGATCATGCATCCCCTAAAAATTTTTGAGCATGAACCCCAGTATATACCTATCCATAAGTTACATATATGAATTACTTTACTAATATATTATGCAAGTTATAAAATATTTTTTTTTAAATTAAGGAGATTAAAAATTACTTCTAAAAATGTATTTTTTAATTTATTATAAAATATAAATATAAATGCATTTTCCTGCACTGCACTGGACTGTCATGTGCACACCCTGGGGTACTCAAACCCCACTTTGGAGATCACTAGTGTAGACAGCCATCAAAGAAATCCTGGGTCAATTCCACAAAAGCACTCCTATTGCTCTAGTTTGAAGTAGATGATACTTATTGAAAATTCTCAGTGTTTCATTGCCAATGCCATGAAAGCAAAAATCATTCCTTAGCAAATATCTGTATGTCAGCACTAGCATCTCCTAATCATCTCACATTCATGCACTATATATTGCTAAAAAATAGAAAAGAACTCAAATCTTAAACATTTATATAATTTTCAGTAACACAGAAAAGTTCCAGTACTACATATGGCTTACGATACATTAAGCTATTTTCTTCTCTGAGGAGGCAGAATGTGTCAAAATTGGTCCAAAACTTTCCATCTCTCCTTGCTTAAGCCTCCAAGGCTGGTATTGTCCATTATTTTCTCTGTCAGGAGGGAGGTTTTGAATGAGATAAAGGGGATCCAACCAAACTTTCTAAGCACTTCTTTCTTGGTGAGATGCCATTAGTGACAAATGTTCTGAGCATCATTATCCAAGCAACATACATAATAGCTCTTTTCTGGAGCCCTCTACAATTATTTCCTTCTAACAGATGAAGCCATCTGGCAACACTCCTTGACAAATTTCAGAACTGTCATGGTGGTTGAATAAATGATTCATAATTCAGAGGGCTTGAGGCAAAGTTATTCTGCCAAGCACTTTGTCCATTCTGGTGTTCTAGCTGTACCCTCTCCAACAGCTTATTAGTTCTGCCAGTTTCTGCTAAGTCAGCTCTCTTTTACACCTATTTACACAGTTGAAAATTAAAGGAAAAACTGGAAGGGCTTAAAAAAAGTCTGAAACTAATATGAACTAAAGATCCTGACACTGACATAAACAAACACATATTCCTATAAATGTAAAACCATATTAACATTAAAATAAATTTTTGACAATTTGTAGGTATTGTAAGTATTTTGTAACCTGGAGATCAGCTGAGTCCTGGACAGCAAAAGACATTTGGTTGGAGCGGATTCTGTTGGTTTGGACAACTGCCAGAGCCAAGGAAGGGGAGACAAATTTAGCAGACGATGTTGATAAGTTTAGTTTTAAGCCAATATAGTCCACCAGCTTTATAATTCTGTTAAGAAAAAGCATACTTAGTATTACCAAGCACATACATCCAAAATTCTCAAGCAAGTTATGATTATGGAGCAATAATCTGAGTATAATGCAAAACGATCACTTATTATGGTGTCAACAAAAATACTCCACCATTTTCCATGGCATTATATTATAGTAGAGCTGGTAACATTGGAATGATAGTCCTTCCATTTTGAATAACCACATAAAAGAACAAGAAATATTCTTCTGAATTGTGATTATGAAAAAGTGAAACTTGCTGAAGCCAATTTTTCAAGACAGTAAATACAACACTCCTGTAATCTATTGCCAAATGACCTACCTGTTAGAAATCCGTGGTGGTAATGGCTGAGAAGCAGTGAGGATAGTGCTCACCTCACCAACCATCCTTTCTACATCTTTTGGCTCTATTTTTCCAGCTGCTAAATCATTTTCTATTTTGGACACGATTTGCTCAGCTGTGGCGATACTAATGGTGGTGTGCACAGAAGTTATATTTGTGGTAGCTGAAAGGGTTTTTCCTGTGACAAATAAACGTTAAACATTGTGTTCAACAAATGATGTAAGCTTGGAGAAGCAGAAAAATTAAACAGTTCTCTTGATTAAAAAATTGTATCACTACTCATAAGGGTTCTCAACAAGTCACGTAATTTCTCCCTGTCAGCTACTTTGCAGACAGTGGTAATTTAAATCTCATGAAAACATAAAGCAAGATTTCAAACTGACAACATGAAATTAATGTTTTATTGATTTCAAAGTTCCTCACATTAGGCCATTAATATATTAAATATATTTAATATATTAAATAACCTATTATTTTGAATTTTTAGCCACTGAACCCCTCAATGTAGAGTAAAATCAAGATAGTGTCAGAAATTTGAAAAGAAGCTTGTGTAGAATTTTCATAAGAAAATACATAGCCCCTAAGAATATTCCCAGTCAATAACAATATTTTAAGGATGATCCAACATTACTGTGCAGTATTTTAAATATTAGGTTAGTTTTAAAAAGAAATCTACCTTGCTCTCTGACTTAATTTTTTCTGTCCAAAAGACATTTGTACTAATGGGAATTGAGCACTGTACCTACCTATGACAGTTACAAACAACAGTGTAGGGTGAGCACTAGGGTGAGCTATCACTCACCATGTCCAAAGGCATCAGAATTTATTTTAAAATACATCAAATGAAAGTTGTCTCAGGGTTTTCACACAGAACAGAATGACAGAATCATTTAGGTTGAAAAAGATCAAGTCCAGCCTTTGACTAAACACCACCTTGTAAACCAGATCACAGACTGAGTGCCATTTCAGTTGTTTCTTGAACATCTCCAGTGATGGTGACTCCACCACATCCCTGGGCAGCCCATTCCAATGCTTAACAACCCTTCCAGAGAAGAAATTCTTCCTGATGTCCAACAACCTCCCTGGCACAGCTTGTGGCCATTGACTCCTATCCTGTCACTGGTTGCCTGGGAGAAGAGGCTGACCCCACACCTGGCTACAATCTCCTTTCAGGGAGTTGTACAATAAGGCCAATCCTGAGACTCCTCCAGGCCCTTTCCCAGCTCCCTTGCCCTTCTCTGGACTCGCTCCAGCACCTCAATGTCCTTCTTGTAGCGAGGGGTCCAGAAATGGACACGAGGTGTGAGGTGTGGCCTCACCAGCGCTGACTACAGAGGACAAACACTGCCCTGGTCCTGCTGGCCACACTATTGCTGATATAGGCCAGGATGCCACTGGCATTCTCGGCCTCCTGGGCACACCTGGCTCATGCTCAGTCACTGTCAGCCAGCACTACCAGGTCCTTTTCCTTGGGGCAGCTTTCAGACACTACTCCCCAAGCCTGGACTCTTCCCCAGGGTTTCTGTGACCCAAGTGCAGGACCCAGAACTTGGCCTTGTTGAACCTTTCATACAGTTGGCCTCAGCCCATCAATCCAGCCTGTCCAGATCCCTCTGTAGAGCCTTCTTACCTTCCAGCAGATCAACACTCCCATCCAAAGTAATTCACAATAATTATAAGGACTACTCTCATATATATAACATTGTTTAATGAAGTTTATAAGCAAATCCAGTCTATGGCATTCAAACAAAAATAATTATTTACTTTTCATATTTACCTGGGTTCCCATGGCCATCAACAGTAGAATGAGGACGAGAAGCTGAGACAGAACGGTTGACAGGACTAGCAGTAGGGGTCAAAGATATTGTGAAAGGAGTAAGGGGTACAATAGGTACTGTACTGACATTTCTGTGAGCTGATATAGGTTGGTTTGAAGCAGGGGGAATTTGTGCAACAGAATCGGTGATTGCCTCAAAGGGGCGATTTAAAATTGCAAGTTTGTGAGGCTTAGAAGAAGAAAGAGAAGGATGTTTAGTGTAACCTACAGAAGGAGAAAGTATTGTAACAGTCTTGTTTAGGTGTGAGGCATCAGATTTAATTGAGAAAGCAGTATTAGTGATAGATTTTGTCGCAGGTATGGGAACAGTGATGGATTTGTTGGAAGTCACGGAAGAAAAAGTTGGCATGGTAGGTTGAGCAAGAGACTCAGAAGAGGAGCGTGTAGTGGTAACACTGGTGGAAGGCATAGAGTTTTCAGAGAGAGGGCTTGTAAGGGGAGATGTGGAAAGAGTTCCAGAAAAATAAATTTCTGTGTATGGTGGGATCAGTGGTCTAAGTGTGGAGCTTTGTTTAGTGGGGGGAATAAAAGAATTAGATTTGAGGAAAGTCTTTTTAGGGAGAGAAGGAGAATGAGGGGAAGGAACCCATATAAAATGAGGTGGCACTTGTATAGTACTGTAAAAGAAAAAAAGGTACAAAAATCCAGGTCAAGTTTAACATTTTTTCTATTTTAAAGAAAACAAGTTATAATAGAGGAATATCTATAAAAATTGTATGGACGTACTAATAATAATGTATATTTTAAAATCAATCAGATTGGATGTTACATGCTCTAATACTTAGAAGGTTCTTACATTCTCTATTGCTGTAGTTGTTAACTAGCAAGTCTATAAACAAATACTACTACTGCCTTTGCTGCCTGCTCTGAGGGTGAGCTGTTGTTGAACACAAAAGCTAGATGCATCACAGAAAAAAATAAAAAAGGGATAAGAAGGGAGTGAAGGGAAAGAGACTGCAAAGAGGAAGGAGCTACACTGGAAAATGCCTGTCAGCTTTTTCTTGTGGAGTCCTTTCTGACTATTACATTGAAGCATGGAAGTTGACTCTAGCCATGTATTAGGAAATTTAGGAAATAAGCAAATCAAATTTTGTATTTATACTTACTACATTCGTAATTCTTCAGCAGTCAAGGAACAGTACTTCAGGGATGAACAGCAGCACTGATCTGAGATGACAAAGAAGCATTATCCTTAAGCATAACAACTGCTAATACCATTAAGTAAAATATTTAACCATGTGTATTATGTCTTTAAACAATAGTACGTACTGCATAATTTATTTTGAAGTTTGTTCTCAAATTAGTTTTGCAAAACAACAGAACTCTTGACCAGTCAGAATATTGCCATACCACCAGATTTTTGTTCAATGCTTGACAAGTTCAGATTTCTCTTTTTTTTTTTAATTTTAAACAAACCAAAATGCAACACAACAGCTTTTGAAACAGAGACAAATGGTATGAGCCAGTACTCCATCCTGTCACAATATCACTAAGAAAGGTTGGCTGCTTAGCAACCCTTTCAATTGAGATTGTCATTTCAGCAAGACATTTATATTCTCATCTTAATTTACACCTAATCCTTTCAAAGTATGGTCTATTAAAGTTGCTGGCAATTTTATACTAGAATGTTTTAAAAAGTTATTTCTATCACATACACCCCCAAAAATCAGAAGGCTCCATTTTTAAGCATTTATATTGCTCAAAACCAAAAATATTTTGATCCAATGGTAACTATCTTGTCTTTTTAGCTACTTCAAGACCATGTCTCTACATAAAATTGTGATGAGACTGTGTTTAAAGCACAACTTACCAAGTTGACTTATTTTTGCCTTTTGTGTTAAACTGCTTATATTCTCTCTCTCAGCCAGCTTCATTATGAAATTGCAATGTGTACTAAAAGAGAAGAAAAAAGCCTAAGACTCAAGAAGCAGAGCTGCCTCATCTTTCTAACAGAAGTAACACCAAATGCTAAATTAAAGCATATTAGTACAAATGCTAAGTGTGAAAGCACATTATTCCTAGGCTCTGTCAGATTTGGGCACATTTTTAATGCACATAAACTCCTATGCCAGGCTGATTAAAAGCACAATAATCAGTTTGTGGCACTTATTGTCCCTTTTCTCTACTGTGTCAATTCTTAAATGGAGTCCTTCCTGATCAATGTTGGTCATTAAAGAATTGATAATTTTGTAAGGATAACAATGTAATCTCTGCTGTTAGTGTAAATATGCCAGTGTTTATGAAAGCTTCACCACCAGAGGAAGCCAGCATTCTCTCTTGACTTTAGAGAGAACTTCAGTGACTCATTCCAGCATGTAACTCCATCTTTACAACTACAGTTCGAGGACTTGAAGCCCTGCCTAAACTAGGGGACTTCCAGGAAATCTTTTATATTCAGAAAATGCAAACATAGAGATGAATTAAATGGTTTCTTTCTAGCTCCTAAGAATTAAAAGATTATTCTAGCAACTGCCAGTATATCACCTGAAGGGGTGACCTGACTACTTTCTATTTTATTTGAGGGTTTTGGACTTTTCTTTCATCCTAATCCAGGAAAATAAAGTCCAGATTCAAGTATTTGGGGAAATCAAGTTTCATTTTGTTTTAGAATACAGCGTTTCCAAGCTGATAATTTTAAAAAATGATCTAATGGTGAGTAGCAATTAAACTGAGATATCATCTACTTTTTAGGGTTTCTAGGATCACCTCTCTGGAGCAGCTCTGCCATTCTGATCATCCATGGTTTGCAGACTCAGAACTGTTTACTTCCTCAGGCTCCCCCTACCCCAAGGATAGTTGGTTCCCCAAGCTGAAGAACAGCAACTTGGATTTACATGCCTCAAGTAAATCCCTCATAAAGACTGCAGTGCATTCACAGGTTCTGGAATCCTGGTGCTCCCAGTTACATGACTCAGGTAATATCAAGGTGCAGAAGAAATATGGCAGGGAAGCCTGAGCTTCAGCAGAAGATTAATGAGAAGCAACACATTCGGGTTAAATGAAATCAGCAAATTCTAAAAGGCTTTTTCAAAATCACTAATGCCAAGACAATAATCAGAAATGAGAATTTCTTTGTTAACCTATACATATTTCTCCAGCCTGCTTCTTGAACTTCTGAACTTCCTAGAGAGTTTGTCTTATTCTTGTGCTAAAGAGCCATGCATATTTCACATATCACAAAACAATATATGAGCTTTTAAATATTTTTTCTTTAAAAATTTAAAAACAAACCTCTGGTTTTCTGCACTGCATTCCATAACAGAGGACTGTAATGACAAATGAAAACAGAAAAAAAAAAAGGTTTATAAGGAGAAATCAGGACTGATGCTTTATCAGAAGTAAGTTGGAAAAAAGTTTTCCAGAGACCAACAGCAATCAATAATCTTACCTCACTTACTGCTTGCAAGGTTTTGTTGAACTCTGAAATGCTTTAAAATAAAATATTACTGTTAGGGAGGATTTTTAGTTATGTTTCTAAAAACAATTACAACAATTTAATTTAAAAAACAATTACAGAGAAAAAAACATTTTTCCAGTTAATCAATGATTTTTTTAAAGTCAGGTCAGCTGTAATACTGTAAAACCTCCACCATTAAACATTTTAAGAGCTGACTTTCATTAGTCACTACACAAACCAAATTTAAACCTCTGTCATCACATTTGAACATCAACCCATTGTAAAGGTTATTTAAAAGAGCAGAAGATAAATCTTAACGTTGCCTTTTGCCAAGCATTACTTGGAATACAATTCTAAATTTATACTCAAAACCACAGAAATAGAATGAGTAAGAAATACAGATTTCTTCTATAAACAAAATTTCTTGGCCAACCACATCTTTTGGTTTTCAGGGTAAGTTTGGGAAATATTCACTCATTCAAACCTCTCCTTAAAAAGACTGGGAAAGAAAAAATGAAACCAAAATAAAACCATAGATATGACTTCAAGAATATTTATTAAAGAACATGCAGCTAGGAAAGTTCTCTTCATCATTTCCTACCAGATAAACTGAATCCTTAAATTATAACAAACATTTGGTGCACCATTTTTTTAAAAGAAACTCCAGTGGTACATAAACTAATTAAGAGTATTCTAACCAGTATGAACTTTATGTTAAAGAGCAAGAACTTAGAACTTGTGAAATTTTTAGTGTGCAGGAATAACACAAAGTCCACTCAACACATGGAAGGTCTCACTTCATCTTTTTCAAATATAATAAAGATTTCAATTCTTATTCAGAATTACTCACCTCAGTTCCTGTGGGGTATGTGCTGGAATTTCAATGAATTTTTTTACTTGATTGTGGGTGGTTATGTTATTAATCTGTTAGGAAAAAAGATCCCACAGCTAAGTACAACCAGTAATTTTTAGCCTTAAAAGAAAATTGTTCATTTCACACATTTTAATAGGCTGAAATTACAAATATAAGAAGCATGTTTTCTCATGTATACACTGCAACAAGTATTTACCACGACATTGTTGTCACAATTTATTGAAGGAATTGTTGATCTAGTATAGATCACACCCCAAAATCTTTGTGAAAGATAGGGGAAGAAGGACAGTAAACTCATCATGTCTTATGCTGGAAAAAGAGGAGTTTGGCTTAGTTTGCAACAAATGCAGCTTACTCCAGACACTGAATGGATTTTCTAACTCTTAAGTGCAACAACGGGGCAAGCTTCATAAATGACATAAATAACAGATGACAGAATACTGGCAGTGAGAAGTCAAGAACTGTAGTGAAAGACATGATAAAACTGAGCTAAACAAGTATGACCTAGAATTAGGGTCTGGGGATACACTGAGGTTTACCTAAGAGCCCTTTCTATAGATGTATTCTTTGTATTCTCATAGGGATTAAGCATTACTGGTTATTTTTACATTTTGTGCAAACAGAAAGGGCCATGAGGAAAAACATCATCTAATATACATGGCATTGACTTCCCCTAAGAAATATTCTTCTAAAAAGCAAGAGTTTCAAGAGATGGAAACCAGCTTTACCAGAAGCTGTAGGTGTAATGTTACCATGCCAGGCCAGTTCCAGTAGGCATTATCACCATTGAAACACAACAGAATGTAGATGTGGCTTTGGCCAGGGGCATATCCCTGCCCAAACCTGATACTCCATGTGCAGCAGCTCTTCTCTGTGCTAACATTGCTGACTGCTCTCATGCTTTCAGGGACTGGCATGTGAAACCTCAGGCTGAGGGCTGACAGGGATGTGTAGGATAAAGATACAAGGTCCTTCGTTTTTCCTCCCCTCAGTTTCCATCTGTATCAACTAAAAATTCTCATCCTCCATAGTATTACCTTGATACTGGATCATCTATATGGTCCTTGCCATGCATGACACTGTCATCTTAAACCTCTCTTGTGTTGTATAAATGGACACACTCATGTCACATAAGCCTATTGCAAAATTAATAACTCAGTAACCACAGGCCAAAAACCAGAATGATCATGCAAAAGCATAATTGAAAAAATACACAAAAAGCCACAGACATATGAAAATCTCAGTATGAATTATTCCAGGATATAATCCAACTTTAATTGTACCCAAATAGTTGCCATCTAGTGACGTTCATCTTCCAAATGCAAGTGCCTAAAGTCATCTCCAGAGGAAGATCTTGTGTGTCTAAACGTAAATTCTTGAGATTACCCAGGGCTTCTCCCTTCCTTCAGTGGCTATGTAGAGAATACAGGTCCTTACTGTAGGAAGGTTACTTAGCTGGAATTTTAAAATTCAGCTGCAAAGCAGCTATTTAAAACAGAGCTGTTCCATTCACTGCAAATAGTATCTTGTACTGCAAACACAGCAAGAATCATGCTACTTATTTAAAGTGTATACAAAGAAATTCACTTCAACCTTCCTTACCATAAAGTTTTAGAAGAAAGAATACTTACTATTTCTACATTTAGTGATGCATTACTTTCTTCACTTGCCCGAAGTTTCACCTTGCCCACATAGAACACTAAAACCAAAAGTAAAAAAGTTAGGAAAATCAATGCTAAAACACACAATGTAAAATTTTTTGAGAATTGCAAAACTTACTGTCTTGTGTTTTGATACAAGGGAAATAAGAACACTTGCACTAGCTTATCTACTTTTGCAATTTTTCTTTCATCTTTTCACCTATTTCAACAAATGTACTAGTCCAACAGCTTCATTATTTTCCATATATTCCTTCCAGGTAATCTTTTCCCAAAACGGAAAAACTGCACTTCATATTACTATAAATAGAACTCCTTAGCTTACTTGTTTCTTGGGGTTTTTTTCACAATTCTTATGTGCAATGGTGTGCTTTTGATGAGAAACCAAAGATCAAGAGTACAAGAGTCTAAACACTTCTTAACCTTTAATATTTTTTGTATTAATATAAAATCTCTCCAAATTTAGAAGGAAATTTATTACAGAACTAGCTTTTACATGGCAACTAAATATGGCTTAATTACTTAGTGTATAAAATAGTTGGATAATATTTTATGTAAAAAAAGGGAAAAGAAAACCACTAACCTGAATAATTACAGGCACGTGTTATGTTGCATACAATGGTTTCTCCTGCTATAGATTTGTTGGGGAAAAAAACCAAACAACTACTGATTAAAAAAGTTAAACCTAAATCAAATATAATCACACAATATAATCCAGTGTACGTATTTACAATCATTCCAGTGTTTGAAATTTATCTTCTGGAAGTATTTGACATATTTTCTAGGCTTCACCTCTCTACAGCACTTACCCTGACATTTTCCAAGACTTAGTATTCAGAAATATGCTGCCTTTGATTAATTAATGTTGAATAATTTTCTGCAACAGTTTGATAGAAGACTTATATGCAAGGGGTCGCCAATTTTTTTAAAAAAATAAATATAAACAGAAACCAGCATGTAATTGATAAGCTCTTTATTTATCATAGAATTCAATCACTAGGCAGTATATTATCTGCTTCTGAGGCCCCTACAATGGCTCCATATGATAGCATGAAGCTAAAACTGTTCTACCTGATGGAATTCAAGCTATGGTGACAGCAACCATGTACACTCTTATCAGGCAGAACATGCCTTCATTTAGTTACAGCAAGCTTTTGGCTGCTCCATATTTTCCATATTTTTAATACAACCTACACTGCTGAGAAATGACACTGATCCTAAATTAGGGTACTGTAAACAGACGGCTCTGTTGTATAACCTCAAAATAAAGCACTGGAAAGATATTTGCATCCAAGACAAAACTCCTACACTTGTTCATTAAAACAACTTCTCTCACTTAAGCAGATGGATTGGTCTCCATTAACAGAAAAAAACCCAAATTCTATTTTTTCTGCTGTTATCATTAGTTAGTACCAAATGAGAAGGGAATTTTTTCACCCTCCCTGTGCTGCAAACATTTGACTGCAAAAGTTTGCTGCTTTTATCACTATCAATAAGTAAGCCACCAGAGGTTACAGACTGCAAGCTGGTGGCAATATTCAAATTGTTAGAAAAAAAAATTCAGACAGCAGTTTAGAATCAAATAAATTTAACGGTTGGACTTGATTATCTTAGAGGTATTTTCCAACCTTAACAATTCTATGATCCTAAATTTGATTTCCCTTTCGTTGGCAGTGAAATAGTTACAAAACTTCTTTACTGCTTTTTTTAAACAATCCTTAAAAAGTAAAGTGCTCATAAATAACTGATAAACAATAATCAAATGTCAATATAAAAAATTGTCAAAATTATTTACTACATAGATAACACCTTATAAAAACCCAAAACAAAATCTGAAAATGCCACAAATTATTGACATCAGCTCCTTTTTCCATACAAAGTACCCATTTGTGTGACCCCCAGTCTTAAGATCTCTGCATGCACAAAAATAGATTACCAGTGTGGAGGATAAAACACTGATCAAAGATCACTAGGGCTTCCAGTCCCCTGAAAGCATCAGATAACACAGCTGCAATATTTCTGCAGGTCGTGTTCACACAGTCAAACTATCCTTGCCATTAAGGCTCCAAGGCAGTTCTTCTTCCACTTGCACTAACTCAGGGCAAACCCACTGTAATGGGGCTACTGAGTTTCTATGTGGATAATTCAAAAATACAATTCAGTCTATTCCTGGACCTACTGGGCCTGCCCTGAGGTCAAATACCATGACTTTTCATGTATTCAGATTGCTTCAATCTCCTAAAGGCATGAAGATTTTTTTTAAGCAAGCATGGTCCCTGAGATTGTGGTTCTTACATTTTTGTGGTAAACTACTGCTCTGACTTACAAAATAACCAAACTCTTCTATATGCAGCCATTTAGACAAACACTGCCTTCAACCAGACATTAATGTGAGGTAAGGCAGAGTGTTAACATGCCAAACCACAATACCAAGTAAAAAGCATACTAAAAACATTTGGGAGCAAAGTTCCTGAATTCACACACACTTAAAATTTGAGACTGAGGTGCACAAAAATGTTATCAGTGGATCAGTGGTGATAGATGAATCCTACCTGGTGTGATGGTGGAGTAGTAATAATCTGTTGTTGTAAGGGCTTCTGTTACCAAAAAAAAAAAGTCAAGAGTTTTCACATTTTAACTTTAAAAAAAACCCATGCAATACATATATACATATCACAAAAACAAATTCTTATTTCTATTTCAGACTCTCTTTCCAGGAAAGGTGTAAACACCTGACATTTTTTAAGAAAATGAAGTTACTTTCAGTGTGGGAAATGCAAAAGCAGCAAGTGGAGAAAGACCCATCCAATTAATGTTTGCATCCCCATCTGAGCCTGTGACTCCTGGCACCCAGTTGGTCAGAGGAGAAAGTGGTGCTTTTAAGGTGATTCCTATTTATCCTATTCTCCATGGGCAGTTCAGCATAGGAGGAATCCTGTTCTAAAAATGTGTTTTTCAATCAACAATGAAGAACAGCAGGACGTCCAGGTGCTATAAAGGCATGGAGGAACTCATAGGGATATGGAAGAAACTACTCCTTGTTTCAAATGGGAAAATCAGGAAAGGAAGGGGTAACAAGTTCTTCTGATTGAGTCTTTTCTGATCCTATCTGACAACTCCTTGCAAGTACATATGTAAGTGTCTTCAAGGAATGATCTGCCCTGTTGGGGTTTTGGTAAGCAATACAATATTTTGAATGAAAAAGAAAGGTTTACAACTCAGTTAAATGCACCTCAGCTGTAATCATGCAGACTTAAAATAGAAATTGCAGATAAATACAAATTTTAAAAACATGAAAGAAAATAATTTGGAATAAACAAATCCTAGTTACTAAAAAAATAACAACAAAAAAGCAACAAACATGAATGCAACTAACACCTGCCTTGAAACCTTACTCTCTTCATGTAAATTCTCACCTGTACTTTGTGTAGTCTCCTCTGAAGACACATCTGAAATAGAGGAATTCAGAACAGTAAAATCTATTAAAAAATAAAACAAGAAAAGCCCAAAAGCCTAAATCCAGCAAAGTCTAAATAAGAGAAACATTAATAATATCTTGTCTGAAGAATTAATAGGATATATGATAAAAGTAACAATAGAGAATTCCAGGGGAAAAAAGAAGCAAAAATTGTACTAAGAAAGTATTCTACTTCAATGAATTTTTGAGAAAAAAGATCAAGTCTGCAAGATTTGAACAGAAACTGAATATTATTTATCTAAATTTCATCTTAAGAACAACTGCAAAGCTTGTTAGGAGTGTTCACATTATTTCAATACTAATAATTGAAATAATGTTCATGTTCATTCAAATAATCTGGGTATCTGAATACAGCCAGCTGGGAATAAAATTTTCCTCAAATAAGTTCCTTTTACTGGTTTCATTCTTTCAGAAGATGCAGATGAATTTCTGCATATCCAACTGCAATAACTGCTTAACCTCAAGTACCTTTTCCTGCATGAACTCACAACATTCATAAGCAGAGATGACTCACTGGGTTTGGCAAACAGTGTCTCCAAAAACCTGGTTTTGTCAATAACCATAGACAAATAAAGTAATGATGCAGAGCTTTTTTCAGCTGCATCAAAAGGACAAAAAAAATCAAATTACGACAATAGATGAAAATTTAAAGGGCTGCGCTTAGTAAGAATATTTTAGGTGTCAGCACAGGAATACAAAGGGGTTAGAAGACCACTTTATATCACTTCAATATGACAACTTAATGATTTTTTTAAATGGACCAGAGGAGATCCACAACAGAAGAAATTTTCTGAGGCAACTAACAAGTAGTCAAAATATGAGCAGAATGAAAACTAAGTGCTGGTTTCACCTGTATTACTTGGCCTAGTGTATACCACACAAATATTGAATGTGATGCAGTTGTTAAAGACAAATCATTCCCAAAGGGAGATTGTATCTGTAAAATAACAAGATTATGTGTGTTTGCATCTGTATTATTTCTTTTATCCAGAGCACTAACTCTATGTCAGTATACATTAAGCAAGAAAGGAACTGGCTTTCACACAGGTTATTTCTGTGTGTCTCATTCTTAATTTTTTAAAATGCTTTCATAGATGATGCTTATCACCTCTGGTTCCAGAAGTTGTTAGAGCCTCTGGTGTGTGTGTAGTGTAATGCACTGCATGAAATGCCACCTGCTAGGGTGAGAGGAGATGTAAAGGAGCTCTCACTGCAGTCTTCCTCCTCTGCCATCTCTGCAAACTCTTCACTGTCTCATTCTACACTCATTACAATGTAGAATGAAACAAGTAATTTAAAATGAAAATATTTTAATTTTGGAACTCTATTTCATTGCAACCTTCCTGCATTTCCTCAGATAAGAGCAGATATCATTTCCCTAACAGGAAATAACAAAAATTGGAAAAATCAGCAAAGTCCTGATTTTCTTACCAAAAATTGTCGTTGCAGCTGATTCTTCAGAATCTGTGAATTTTATATCAGATAAAAAAAAAAAGACCATTATGAAGTTTCAGACACATACATTATCATCCTCAGCAGGCTTTTCTTATATTATCAAAAGTTTACTGCATTCACCAGAAGAGGGCAACACCTGCTCTTTCAGAACAACACTTCCAGGTAGTCAAAAAAGGCAGATGAAACAATCTCCGGTTAAAAAAAAAAAAGTCACAATTTTATGCACTCAGAATTCGATGCAGGACATTTTTAATTTTTTTTGAGAAATACTGGACAGTTTAAATTGTATAATGTTGCAAAACCACAGCTGTATGATGTTAAAGACCCAAGATATGTGCCACACTAGCCTGAAAGCCACAGGCTTATCCTGAGTGTTTTACTAATTCTGGGAATGGGAATCAAACATACACAGCAAGACGGCTCTAGCTGGGTATGAAGAACTATTCTCAGACTTTAAATAATAACAATGAGACTTGCCACTTAAAACTTATCCCATTCATATGGATTCTCTTTTCTATCCTGCAAAAAGCAGTGATAAAAAAAATAAAATAATTAATTTCAAGTTTGAATCTCTGATTTGAACAGGAACCAGCCAACTATTTATATAGCAAACACTAGCTATCAGATTTTTATATTGTTACAGTCAGTATTTTGATCAAAAAGAAATTAGGAAATTTGATATCTTGTTCACATAGCAACTTTAAAGTTGTCCTTTTCAGTCACTGGGTGGTTTTTGATACTGTCAGAGACAAGTCAAGTTACAGGTCACAGTTATCACAGAAATATAATCTAAAGAACAGCTGGATGCAAACAAGAAGCACTATTTAAAAATATATTTAAGGTGTTTCAACATCTCTCAAAGGCCAAAAGTCATCTTATATGTTACTTACAGTACACAAATTTTACTGTTAAGCTTTTCCTACTGCTGCAGAAGACTTAAATCAGAGATACCAGAAGTTCCTGAAGAAAACTAGATTTTTTAAAATTAAAAATAGAAAACAAGAATTTTCTGAAATGCTAAACATTCGTGAATTCATTGCTCCAGCAAAACTATTTTGCTTGCCTTACTGAAAACTGGTAATAGCCTCTTTCCAAAGGATAAATGTGAATACAATTTCTGTAATGAAGGGAGAATCAGAATCATCTCAGTGACTTCATTTTCATTTTCTCTGGAAAATTACTGATGCTATTTTCACCACAAAATTAGCTAAGAAGACACAAGGATGATATGGAATATAATTTGCTAATGTTTGCATATGCTTAACGATTTCCAAGAATTAAAACGTATCAGCAGCAGCAATTGTACTCTACACTTTCTAAAACAGAAGAACAATGGGGCAAAATCCCACAGAACCCCAACATACCTGTCATTCTTCTGCTAGGCAGTGTAGCAGTAGTTTCAACTGCAAAATAAGAAGAATTTTTTAGGAGCAGAAGATTTTGTATGTATTTGTACACATGCATACACAAGCTTTTTAAAACACAACCATTTTAGATGTGGTATTCACCTCACTTCAAAATGGTTTGCAAAACTACTTTGCACCCATTGAGAAATATGTGTCAAGACTTTTTGAAAGCTGGAACTTGAACACTTTTGAGTTCAGTTTTTTCATCAGCTCAACTTTTTATACTTATGGAAGATACAGATTAGGCCATAAGCTTTGCCACTTCCATTGCCAGTGTCTTCAGAAGCCTATTCACCACATTTGCTTGAGTGAAGATGAAGAGGACTAAAAGAGCATCAGCTAAAAATGTAACATGCAACATCATGATGTGCATGCACATCATATATAAACACTTATGTGTCCAAAGCTGCACCACCAAAGAGCATCTACACAGTGAAAGATCAGGCTGCCAGAAAGGAAGCAGCTCAGGTGGATGTGGGCTGGGATGAAAAGGTGAGCTATTTCCAGCTCAATGGGCCCACCAAACATGTCCCCAGGGACACCCAAGGAGAGATGCAACACACAGATGGGTTCTTGATCCATCAACTCTTGTTTGATCCAAGGGGAGGATGTGACAGTTGAAGCCATGACACTCATGAATGTGAAACATGATGTCATCAAGCGAGCCAAGTGACTAAAGCCTCCCTGGAATAAAGGTGGTGGCTGGGCTATAAGTGAGGAGGCCCAGCAGATCAATTAAATCACACCACTGTAGGGAAACTGCCACCAGGGCAAGTGCTATGTGCTTCCTGTGCTGGAGGAAAAGTGGCAGACAGCTCCAAATGTTCCCTGCAGCCTGTCACTGCTCAAAACACCAATCTGGGCCTTGAAAAAGAAGTAGCAACACAGCATCACCTATACTTAAAGTACTGTTACCTATCTGAGCACCCTTAAAAGGTGAGACCCTTTCTGGGCAAGGAGGAAGAAAAGCTCCTCTCAAGTCACTGAACTCAGTGGGACACTAAGCACAGTCAGGATTCAAGCCCAAGGGTAGCAGAAGAAGAGAGAGATTCTCTCCAAATTGCAGGAGTAGGTGGGACAGTCTCTCCACAGGTAATGCCTTGATATCTGGCCAGTCCATCACTGCCCATCACAGTGGTGGGCACTAAACTGTGCCACACAGCCCACATGCAGCTGGCACTCCCCAGATCCTTGGAGTTGTCACTGCTCTCCAGGTTGTTGTAGATGACCTCCACCACTGCTAATGCCCTCAGATACTGACACCTTCCTTCTTCCATCAGTGCTGGTGCACTTGCACCTGCAGTCAACACAACCATCCTCAAACTCTGAATTCAGTCATGCAATCTCTGTGGGACCTCCAGTAACAAATCACTTGGAGATGACACACCGGAAAGTTCCCCGAGGGAACAAATTCCTAGGGAGCAAGGTATGCAGGACAATTTGGGCAGGTGCTAGAGCAGTATTCACCTCTGGTAGCATGGGAGTTTGCACCCAAACAGCCAAGGAATCCTGGTGAGAAGGCAGACCACTTGCAGGAGGGATGTCTTGCTTACACCAAAGACAGGGACTTTTGGCACCGTGCTGGGTCCTGGCATACACATACCAGGCCTGTGTCCCACACTCTGGAAGGGACAATAGGATCTCTGTATGTAAGGAAAAACAAATGGATGCTGCAGCAGAATCAGAGATACAGCCCTAACCATAACAGTCAAGGGGGAGCTATGGAAGTGGAGGATGACCCAGTTAGGGAAGGAGGAAGAAGATCCTCTGGAGGTGATGTAGGAAGACAACTCAGAAGAGGCAGCCTGTTCATAAGAACAGGAGAAGCAAATGACAGAAATCATTAATGAGACAGAAATTAACCAGTCCCTATTGCTGAGCAAGGTGTGAGATGCACAAAGCAGACAGCTGCAGCCAGGTAAGCAGATTGCTGTCTGGCTACCCCAGTGCTGGGATACTGGGACCAATGAGCTGAAGTCAGAGACAACGTGAGAGCTTGACAAGATGAAAAAAGTCAGTTCATTTTTGCTGAATGTCATACAGTGCATGAAGCTAAAAGCAGCAACTTTAAAAAACATGGCAGAATGAATACATGGAAATTGAATTAATTGCACTACAATTTTTTAGGAGTTTCCTATGAAACTTAGTTTTAGTTAATTTACATCCTGGGTAGAAATTTTCTTATGCAGAAGAAAGAGACAGAGAAGCAAAATTCTTAGTAAAATAATACATACTGATTAGGTTAAAGTGTAAATAAAAATTCACACCTTTATACATATCAACCTAGTGAATTTAAACTCCAGTAAAGATAAAAGAAAGTTACATCAAACATCTCTTTTGAGACAACTAGGATTCTGCCTACAGAGAAGTAAAATTACTCTTTTTCACAACTAGAACTGTGTAAACTTGATAGGTCATGAAAATCTAGATATAACCCTAATTTTTATAGTACTTTTTCAGAAAATTAGGACTTCTCACTATACAGTAAGTCCAGATAAAATACATATTCACATATTCCTGTAAGGTAAGTGTTCTAGAGCTCTTATGTACAAGTGCTGTTACTTTAACATTGTAAAGTGATTGCAAATTACAGATTCTATAAAATTATTTTCTTAGCACCTACTGTAGGCTTGGGGAAGACCCCTAACACAACACCAAGACAATACCAAGTTTAATATGCAGAACTGAACCAGTGGTCAGATAAAACTACTCAGTATTGTTCAAATAGTAAATAACTTTTCCAGGTAGAATTGTGTGAATAAAGATAATTGACTGAACTTCTGGTTAGAGAAGGAAGTATCCTTCCACAGGTGGGCAATCTGATTTTCCTACCACAGAAAGTAAATTCTATCTCCAAAAGTACCTGTTATGAGTCCTGTCTTAATCAGTGCAAAAGCCCTTATCTCCAAAAAAAGCTCTGAAAGGAGCTTTTCTCAAAAGGAACCCACCTGAATATGCAGCCTCAGAGCAAACACCACCACACTGCTTCTTCTACCCATTTAAAAAATAAAATCTGTACAAGGAATCTAACTTTAAGATTTCTCAGAAACTCTTGTGGAGTCAGTGGAGACAGTCCTGCTGTATACAAGGTGTCTTTTGCATCTTCCCTATCCCTTCAATCACCTTGTGAATTTTTGAGAATATAAGTAGTACCCTGAGGTAGGTACAAAAATTGTTCATTAACAATTTGGTTTTGCAAGTTAGTAAAATGACAGTGAACTGTAAAAATGCCAAATGCTTTTTTTAATAGCACATCTAGCAGCACAGGGAGTAAAACAAGCTAAACACAAGCCATGAATATGGAGCTGGCAAATGCAGCAACTGATGATGGCCTGCATCATCTGAGAGGCACTTTTTTATGGACACCAGTCTAACCATGACTTCTCTTACAGCACAACAGTCATATGCCTACAGTTGCCAGAAATTATCCATGAGTATGAGACTTGTCAAGGCTTGAGTATGGACTTTTCAAGGTCCAGCTTTAAGTTCATTAACCAAGTCTTTAATCAGAACCACCTTAGCATACAGAAAGGAGGAAGGAGGAAAGACTTATATATAAATTTATTTGTTAACCTTCCTCCTTTGTTAAGAACAAGAAAAAAAAAAGTGAATAGATTTATTTAGAGAAGGATTAGAGTTCAATCCAAAATATCCCTAAAATTGGCATGTAAAAATGAAAGTAAAGTAACTCAAGATGTGTTAGTTACAAGCTAACAGAAAAGTTATTGCCCTTAGGTTGTTTACTATTGATAAGAGCATGAAAATCCTTATATATATGAAACTTCCATTTATTTGCTTTATGGATTTTATTTGCAACACTGTTAGTTTAGGATCACCAAATCAATATAACTAACATATCCTGTTCCAAAACAAAGGATTACACATTGTAATAATACTTAGCTACCTTTTCCCTAATAGAAAACACTCCTAAAGATTCAGACACTAGTTAAATAGACAGTGTTACTCCTTGCTTTTGTTGCAAGGTAGATAGAATAGGCCCCTACAAGGCATGTTTGGTTTCTTTTTGAGGGAAAAGGCAACTTGATTAAATGAGATAAGCACTGATTCTGTTACTAACACGCATCATTAGAAACAAAAGCATCAAGTCCTTTACTGTCTCCATATCACTTTGTACTGTTCTGACACAAATAGCAAGCCAAGCCACGACCTGGGAATCCCATCTGTGTTCCACAGGTATGAAACTGGTTTAGCAGCTCTCACCACAGCTGCAAAAATTGTGGCAACCTTCATTTCCCAGTGACTTCATCTGACAACGGGAAGCAGTGTAACTTCAGCAGCTCCAGACTGGCAGGAGACCAAACCTACAAGCAGTACTTAAGGTTAGGTGTGCAAGCTGATGTAGCTCTGAGAGAGACCAGTACCTGGCCCTGTCTGAAAAAATAGCCTTGTGCTTACAGCATTCCTATGCATGACAGCTTTTAGTTCTCAGGCTACTGGATCTTTTAGGATGGAATGGTCTCCACATGTCCTGCTGAAGCTGTTTCACCAAGCAAAGCAGAATTCATTGAAAAATGAATTCAGTGAAAGGGAAAGAAAGGCAGAAGGAGGCTTTGTAACACAGTGATCAAGATGGGACAGATGGTTCTGGTGCCTACAGCAAAAGCACTGTGACTCAAAGTGTATCATTTGTTCAGTAGCTCAGGCACAGGACACAGCCCTTAAAGCATGAAAGGTGTACAGTGTAATATCTCCAAGTGTGATAATTAAAAAAGGTCCTTTTCTTCAATCTACCTTCAATCTAACTTATGAGCAGTATACCCTTTCTTAAATTTTTTGGAATTGCAACACCATTTCTGATTCACCTGTCTTTGGGCACCCCAGTCTGTGAGAAGCAGTTCAGTTTTTCCAGGGTGGAGAAGTGAGAAGCAGCTGGAACCTGGCTGCTGATAACAATTTGGTGCAAGAACGACAGTACTGGCAGCAGTTTCCTGTCCGCCTGTCTCAGGAGAACGGTGCTGCTGCTGACTAATGCTGTT